TGTATATAATGTATGTATATACACATATGTCCGAAAGTTGGACACTTCTAATACGGTTCCCATTTTGAACATTCTAGTTCGTTCCGGCCCTGAAGATCGGGTATCTGTATACGTACTGGGGACCGCTTCTGTTTGTTTTGGCCGTTACGATATCGAAGGAGGCGTTTGATGATATAGCTCGTTTTAGGAGAGATAAAGAAATCAACAACTCGACGTACAAACGAATCACCGCCCAGGGAGAAGTAGACATTACGAGTGGTGAAATCTCGGTATGTTTTTGCAATCCAATAGCGATGCTTCATTTCCCCTTAACCCGCCTAGTAGTTATCAGGCCGTAGTTCGACACTGCAAGCGAAGGTCTTCCTTGTGTGGTGGTTCTCCCGAATTCGATTATGTATATCCGATAGGATCGGCATTTGTTCTGAGTCATTCCCATCGTCGACATCTGCGGACGTCTTAATATCTGGCTCGTCCGCACCTTTCTGATAGGCGGAATGAGATCGCTGTCTTTACCTGTACCAGGCACTTCCTACGCATCTAACATGTCTGTATTTGTGGCTGCTCGCTGTCTTTACTTGTAACAGGCACTTCCCACGCATCTAACATGTCTGTATTTGCGGCTGCTCGCTGTCTTTACTTGTAACAGGCACTTCCCACGCATTTAACATGTCTGTATTTGCGGCTGCTCGCTGTCTTTACCTGTACCGGGCACTTCCCACGCATCTAACATATCTGTATTTGCGGCTGCTAAACACATCTTGCACAGGTAGGGGATATAATCGTAGTACACACTAACCAGCGCGTTCCGGCTGACATGGTCTTCCTGCGCACGACAGAGAAGAGTGGAGCCGCTTTTATTCGTACGGATCAATTAGACGGAGTATGTGGCTCTATTCTTCTATACATACAACTTTATATACATGTTGCAAATGAGATTTAACTTATATAGATAAATTTTGACACAGTAGAACATACGGCAGAGGTATCAAATTTACCCAAACTATGCGCTCAAGCACACGATTCTCGGTTGGATTCGCCAGATTGCTTGTAGGGGTCTTGAAGTACAGAACCATGACAATAGTGAGTGTTTCGGCGTGGTTCAACTGGCTTGGATCCAGAGACGGTGCATTCTTCGTCTGCCATAACCAGCCCTCCTACCTCATCCTCATTTCTCTGAATTAATCGATTGACAGCTCGATTGCAAGTGCAAATAGCGAGTGTTTGCACTCATGTAAGCACGTAGTGTATGGTTCGGGCTCTATAGGGCACCACAATCATAGGGCTCACGTATACACCAAACTATGCATAGTTATATAAACGTATATGGATGAGCATGTCTAACCATACCCTTATTTCACTGTTTATGACGATTTGTTCGCTGGCAGGAAACCGACTGGAAACTGAGGATAGCGGTGCCTGTGACACAGGCCTTACAAACAGATCAAAACTTAGTTCGCCTACGGGCGTGTGTGTTTGCTGATAAGCCGATGAAAAGCATACATGAGTTTGTGGGCACATTTACGACCTACAATGAGTTATCTGGGTCTGAACCTCAGGTAAGACCACGAGCGAGTGAACAATTTCTATAGTTGCATGCATGCATGTATACATGCATACATACGTATAAATGCATATTTATATACAAACATATACATATGTTCATGTATATATCACTCATCATTGGATGTGCACTTGTACGTATTTCAAGTTCGGGTGGCACAGTAAGTCCGCGTAGGTCTGATTCTCAGCCCTGCATTATCCTTTTTTTCTATCTGTACAGCCAGTTGAATGATTGCAGCGTTGTTTAGATCATAGTACCAAGTGACGGATCTCTACATCCACAGAAGAACAAAACCAGCTTGTTTACGTATATGTCTCTTACATCACGGTACTCTTTTGCGTTGGTGTGCAATAAGTGCTCTCAGGCCGCCGACAATAGACAATTGGTCACTATGATCATACCATTGGTTAATTTCTACCTATCAGACCTCTACATTCAAACCATAACCAGTTTTCTTGACTAGTGGGTCATATATTTCCCGCTTTACTCTTACGCTGATATGCTTGCACGCAGGTCGAACCACTGACAATAGACAATACCCTATGGACCAACACAGTACTGGCGTCTGGAACGGCCGTGGGTGTGGTGGTATACACCGGCAAGGAATCCCGATCAGTCATGAACACATCCCAACCACACACCAAAATGGGTCTGCTCGACGAGGAGATCAATTTCTTATCCAAGGTATATGTATGATATAATACAACGTATCAATTGTATGTCGCTGTACATTTCGATATTTCAACTGCATTCTTTTTAAATTCATTGCGGATCTGCCTATCATGAGCTCTGGTAGGCTTCTGCCCAGCCCCTGAACACTGATAAGGTTTTGTTAGATGTGCGAAGCGCTGGTAGAATCAGGTTGCATCCTGCATCCAGCCTCAGTATGGTGATGCCAGTAGTATCCCTGCAGATTCTTTTGTCCTGATGTTCGCCAATATTCATGGTACCCCTTTCTACAGACTATCACCGCGCATAACAGATCACTCAGGCCCAATACGCTTTACGTTAATTCCCAGCGATGTTCGTTGCTCTGGTTCTCATGTTTGTTGCACACAACGCACAGGTGTTGTTTGTGTTGACGATGGCTCTGGCGCTGGTTCTGGTGTCGCTCAAAGGGTTTGACGGCGAGTGGTAAGCACTCGATCTGCGTCTGTGATCTGGCAGATGCTCTTTCCTTGATCTGTTCATATTAATACAGTCCAGGTTTGAATGCACGAGTCCCATTAAAGTACCCAAGATTCTACCCATGTGGATTGGGAACCTGCCTATGCACCCCTTTTCGTAGTGTAATAAACGCCTAAATAGAACGGCACTTAGCAACGGCACCCAACTGCAATTAACATGCCCCGATTGCCCCCCTAATTTTTGGCTTCAGGTACATATATCTTTTCCGGTTCGTTCTGCTGTTCTCGTATATCATTCCGATCTCGCTGCGAGTGAATCTGGATATGGGTAAAACCTACTACGCCAGGCAGATAGAGAGGGATCACTACATACCAGATACCGTGGTGCGAACGTCAACCATTCCGGAAGAGTTGGGTCGGATTAGGTATCTCTTGTCGGATAAAACAGGGACTCTCACCCAGGTAGGTGTATCCATGTACGCATTTGTGCTTGTGTTTTAAGTGCCAATGTATGCACGAATGCGCATCTGTTCATATGCATACATATACGTACGTATGGATGTGTGTGCATATATCGAGCTGTCGATGGATGTATGTTTATGCCTTATTACTTAGCGGACGGCACCACTGTAGCCGTTTGCGTTGCCCATATCAACCTGATGAGCAATCTCTTGCCGCCAAGGCGAGTACCTGCAAGTCTCTAGTAAAACACTAGTGTACACTCCACTCTGTAGAAACATACTGGTACCACGTATACCACTATGGTCGGTCAACACTATATCTATCTTCCCTTGTCATTCTGAGCCGATTTAGTGCCACTGTATGTAGCCGTGTCTGACATTCCTCCTTTCAATGCGTGCGTTATCATCTACATAACAGAATGAGATGATCTTCAAGAAACTGCACATGGGATCTGTGTCGTTTGGCGAAGACAGTGAACGCGATATGCAGGAACATCTGTACGACGCCTTCTCCGCACCTGAACATGTAGTAAAAACAAGGGCTCACGGCCGGACCATCAGCGGCTTGAGCGGGAATTTCGGTACTTTATATGTTTCATGGGAAGGTTGCTTATATTTTCAACGC